CATCTGTGTTGCACACTTTTGGACACAACAGGAGCCCAATTGGCATTTTGAATGGACAGCAATTTGCCAGGTGCCTTTTTTTCTTGGTCTCCCCTCGGAACACATGAATTTTTTCCCCAGTCTAAATTACTTTTTTGAGAGGTATGATGCATAACCTAGGGAGGAAAAAAAAAGTCATACAGTACAATAAGAGAAAATTTTTGCATAAAACATTTGCATCACATTGCCATATCTCAAGCCTATTTTAGATGTTTGACCTTTTGGACTACGCTTACTAAAAGGGATTGCCATGGATACCAGGGACACACTGAACGTCTGACCGTCACTCAACTACCAGGAGGGGAGAGGGACAGAGTGAATGCCACAGAGATGATGTATTGACCAAATATATATTTTTACTAAAGCAACTAAAGCATTATTATTCTCAATCTTTTGTAACGTGCACCAAAAGCACAGAACAAGGCAACATGTAACAAGGAAACGTGCTGCAACATCAGAGCGGCTAAAAACAAAAGTCCCAACCACACCCAAAGCACTGTAATGCCTCCCTCCAGGGGTAAACACCTTCTTTCAAAGGACCAAAAGAAATATTTGCATGACTGCCAAAGCCAATAGAGATAAATATTCAAGGTCTTTAAAAGATGGCGTTTTATTGCAAGAGGAAGCAACATCAAGACGTCAGCACATCCTGCAGCGCTTCGCGAGAGGACGGTGGATTGAATGTGTCTGGTGCGAGCGGCCTAACAAACCTGATTTCTTCCTGCTTGTGACATATTGAAATGGCGTGTTTTTCAGGCCGCTCTCCGTGGCTGACACGGCCCACTTACACACACTCATCAGCAAGACCTGCTCTACTCTGCTCTCTCAGCTGCTTTGTTCCAGCTGATGTCATCTAAACCTCGTCCCTGCAGGGTTGTCTGGGGTAGATAAGACAACCCCCCACCCCCCCATCCGCCCCCTCCAATGGTCTTCCGCAGGAAAAAAAGGGGGGCTGCTGCTATGAAGATGGATTACCCAGCTGGTGACACTAGTTCCCTTTCCGGCGAAGCAGCGGTGGAGTGCTAACACAATTAAGGCAATTAATCTTCAACAAAAGGGGTTCACAGCTACCTCTTATGATTTTGCACCTTTCTGTACAGGTGCACAACGAAACAGACGTGCTCAGACATGCACGCATACACAGACTGTACATGCATGCAAACACAATTCTTTTATCTGGGCTAAGATATACTGAAAAAACATAAATAAAGGTAACAAGCAAGAAATAGGGCCCTCTTCACACAGCTGATGTGTCAAACCATGATGCTGTTTGTTCCATCATTTGCAGTTCACTCATTTGCATCAGTGGCCTGCTTTCACTAAAGTCTTGTGATTTTCAAAACAAGCAGCAGCAGGATGAGAGTGAATACTGTCGACGACCTACAGGCAGGACAGCCATTATTGGGCGGCTGTTAAAAAGACAACTGTTCTAATGATTACAACAACAGATGCTGGGTGTTTTTATTGTGTGGCATACAACACAGAGGTGTATGTGTGTATGTCACAGATGAGGGGGAGATAATAGGAAAGAGAGTAAGTGGGAGCTATTATCAGCACATTTAAAGGCTCTGGCATGTGTTTTCAAGCTCTGTAAACGGTTACTCCGCTGCCTTGCTGGCAATACATTCCGTCATGTAATACAGCCGGGAATGTTGAATTTTAATTTAAAATCTGTGCTTTGCTTCTTCTACATTCGGGAGCAGCGGCACAGGTGGTCTGAGCCAAATATCATTTATTTAGAGTGAGTAAAAGCATTAAAACATATTTCTGAACATCAGTCAGACTTTTAAAACTACCAGAATAAAGACAGTGTCAAAGAAATCTATGTAATAATTGTCCACTATTATGATTCAGCAACAAAGAGCTAAACTAAATGGCTGCAGTAAATATGGAACGAGAAAGATTCTCTAAATGATTCCAAATTAAGTCATTAACTTTGCTTTAATGATTAAAATCATCTATTATTTATCACAGGAGTTGGTCTTTTTGTGAGATATAGTTAGGGATGACTGAGAGCACTGCATGCAGTGATAGAATTTCAGGAAAACAAAGCATCTATCTAACATTGGGACATACATTTAATTTATCACTTCAAGAGGACGTCAATTCATGCCGCACCGAAGACAAATGTGAAATCAATCTAAACTATGAATTCAAAACAACAGGATCAAAATGGCCCAGGTGCTGAGAGGTTGAAATGCGTGATGGAAGTGGCACAGGGCGAGTGAAGGGCACCAGCAGCGAGACCACTATGCAAATGTCCCGCCACTGTGTTTGACAAGCAACAACACTGCTTTGTATATATGCAAAGGCTGGCAAGACACTGTGCACACAGCCCTGCTGTCAGAGCGGAGTCATGCTAGAATGGTGACACCCAATGGTTGACCCCTGTCTGCAATGAGGCTACTGGGCCAGACTTCACACTTCATTCAGACACATATACACTGGCAAAAGTTATCACTTGTAGCACACTTTGCATCTCAGAGGTCAAACGTGGCGGGACGCTGAGATCGCCCACTGTTCCTCAGACACTTGGAAACGTGTCAGAAGTTGAATACTGTAATTTGATTTCTGGAGCCTTTATCATCCCTGCTGAGGTGAAAAGTACTTGATTAGCACTTTGAATTTACTCAGCAGACGGTCTGTTTGGCCACCACTAAAGAGCTGGAGATGGCAAACCCCATTAACCATTACTCAGTTAGGCTTCTTGCTGCTTTTTCTCTCAGTGGGTGTGTGAGTGTTCTCAACACATCTGAGGACCTGCATCCAAATCTCTCTGTGGACATGTAGAAATAAAAAAAACAGTGTCTGGTGTACCTCAAAGCAGTATTTTTGAATTCCTAAAAAATCCTAGTTGTCTTACAAATAAATGGTCATAAAGAACTTTCACTGCAATAAATATGGAATATTTTGTACTTCGTATGTTATGGTGATCCAGAAAGTAAATTTATTCCTATAAGGGACATTTTTAACGGCATTTATGGGACTATTTACTTTTTGATAGGGGACGGTAGAGAGGTGACAGGAAAGGAAAGGTCGGACTTGAACCCGGGGATGTTGTTATTACATAGACAGCATCGTAAACCCCTGGCCCACCAATGCACCCAACTATACGAGATTTTGATGGAGCAACAAGGCAATGACCCCTTGTCCACATATTTTGCAGGAGAGTAGTTTCAGACAAGCATTAAGGCAAAGGGGCTGCTTTGGTGGGTAAGCGTAGTTTTGGACAACGACAATGAGATTTGAACATGAAAGGCCAGTTTAAGTAACAGAACCGCTATAAAAGTTTAAGGGCTTATCAGACACCAAACACTGCCCAGTTCTGCACAATTTATAATATTGAGAGACAGGATATCACAAGGCTTTAAAGTTATCACGGCTGCAATCGAGTAGTCTTTTGTTGCAATGATTGTGAGGCAAACAGCAGAAATGCAGCGTTTACGCCACAATAATTAACACAGTCAGGGATGTGTGTTTGTCATCCAGCAAGGTTGTGCACTGGCCAATCAAATACTGTAAGCACAATGCCAGGCTCAACATTATTTTTGGCGGAGGCCTACGGAATTGGAACCCCGGCTGTGTTGCTGGACTGGACACAAAAGGCCGAACAGATATAGTTGGGTTGCTGACAGGGCAATGTATTAATGAATGATCATTTTGAATATCATTGATTATGAAGTGTTCACTGGTTTGAGATACCTCCTTAAAGGCCATATATATATGAAATTCACTTGGCACTAGATGTCGCAATAGAGCACCAGCATCTCAGACCAAAACAAACGTGTTTTATGGCTCATCAGACTCCAATTTTACCCCACAGAGTATTGTAAAACACACTTCAAACTGACAGGAACAAAATAAAACTCACCAAAAACATTTTTGTTAGTCTTTCCACAGTCTGTCCAACAATCATTAACACTAGTTTAGTTGAAATAAACCCTTAATTCAGTTATATTGGACAATATAGTGTCACAATCCTTAGGGGCCAATTGTTGCCCATCAAAGTATGTCCATGAAAAGTGCTTGTTTTTTCCACGGACAGACATCTTTACATAGCAAATACACCGATCAGCCATAACATCCTGACCACCTGAGCACCCTGGTGTTTAGAATGTTCTGCAGCCCCATACTAACAAACTGCGATGCATTGTGTGTTCTGACACCTTTCTATTAGAACC